ATTATGTTTTAATGATGCAAGCCCCACTGGGTCCTTTTTAAGGAGAAAGGTGAGGTAATATTGTAAATAAATAAAATTAATATGCCCTCTTGCCTCTGCACTGGATTCTGGGAGTTATTATCCCAGGAGATAGGAGACAGAATTATCTCTGCTATACTTCACAGACCTCAAGGAGACTGAAGCTACACGCAATTGTCCTTGTGGACTTCTACAAAATACTTCGGCACACATTAAATATGTGCATGGCTCTTCAAGTTATGTGAAGATCCCCTTTGATCTTCAAGGACTCCATTTTTTAAAAAAAAGAGAGAGAAGAAAATAAGATAACACAAAGCTTGCCCTTCAATCTATTGCTTTAATGAGGCATAAGCAAAGAAAACCAGCATTATGAGGACTTGAGCTGCAGCTATTTAAAAAAATAAAACACCTGGCATTCGGCTGTGAATATGGTCCATTTGGGAACAGTTAGGGCCGGCCCTGACAGCAGGGAATGGCTTCAGACGGCAGACCTTCAGTGGTGGCAATGAGCTATCTGGATGGGCGGGAGAGTTCTGAATGACAGCTTTCTGACTGAGACACAGACACACACACACACCCCAGATGTGCCAAGGCCGCTTTCTGCCCTAGTTCTGCAAATATGCAGTAAGCAGGACGGCCAACATCTGTATACAGCAGTGGTTCCCAACCTGGGGTCCCCATTCTTGAACGAACCCCCCCCCTGAAATCCTGGCCAGCACAGCTAGTGGCAAAGGCTTCTGGGAGTTGTAATCCAAGAACGTCTGAGGACGCCACTGGTCTACGGAACGAGACTGATATATCCTGTCCCTTGCCCCAGATGTGGCCCAGGTGTTGTTGGATAGCCATTCTCGTCTTCCACCCACCTTCCATGATCTAGGCTGGCTGTGGCTAGCGGGACTTGCAAAGTGTGCCGTCTGCGAGGAGATGGGAAAGAAAACAGGGAAAGAAAAAAAGGAGGGGAACGGCCAGCGCTGAGGCATCGTTTCAACCTCCTTTTTCCACATGCATGCGTCTCTTCTCCAAGAGTGTGCCGAGCCCACAAGCAGAATTAGGCCCTTCCTCTTCATCAGGAGAAAGCTTCCACAGACATTTCTCCTGCCAGTTGCCACTGGGGCCCTCTCTGGCATTATCAGTTTGTTGTCAGGGTTAGATGTGATGGCTGCCTCCACAGGTTCAATAGGTTTTCAAGGAGACGTGTTCTGGAGGTGATTTTTCAGTCTCCTCCCCCGTGCGCTTGCTTGGGGTCTTTCCCCCTCCATGAAAATAAGGGTGGTCAAAAGTCTATGTCCAGTCTTGGAAACTCATTTTGGGTTGGTTTTCATCTTTTAAAGGCTAAACACAAGATGCCAACTGCTGTCTGTTCTTAGTTTTAAAGGTGATCATTCCTTACTTCCTACGTTCCGCAAACCCCATTTTCAAAATACCTTCACTCTCTGCCTCCTTTATTTCAGCATCAACCAGCCATAACCCTAACTATAGCTTGGGAAAGGGGCATGTGTATTTATTTATTTTATAAAGTATATTTCTTTTTCCCCTGAAAGGACCCAAGGTGGCTTACATCATTAAACCAGGATTTAAAAGCTGAAAACAGTAAGGTGTATGTTTTTTTTTTAAATTGCCGTTTCCAGATTCTGGGACTTCTAGTCCAAAAACTAAACTCCAAGTCCTGATATTATTGCACCTACATTGAAAGAAGAAAAACAATAACAGTGTCCTAACTTTGGCTTTTCTTTTGTTTTGTGTGTTATAGCATGAAAAGTTTGTTATTCTACAATCTTACTCGCTCCATTTAAAAAGGGGCAACGATGGGCTAAAATGCCTGGACAGCATGGAAACCGTCATTTTTGTCCTTGAGGACTAGAAGATTGCTTAGTTTAAATATACAACTAACATTCTTGGTAAGTATTTTTTTTTAACAAAATGCAAAACTAATTGAAAAAGTTTCTCAAAATAAATAACTCAGGGTAGATTATTTTTTTTAACAAGGACAATATAGGCTTTCTAAATAAAAAAAAATATAATAATTTCAGAACTGCAAAGCTGAAAGGGACCCTACGGATCATCAAGTCCAGCCTTTGTCAAGGAGGCATAGCGGAGAATCGAACTCCCAACCTCTCAATCCACCTAAGCCACTGAACTATCCAGCGATTTGTATACATTTGTACTGAAATGTTGTCTCCAAGTTATAGCAAGCAATAGCATACTTTGTAAGGGAAGAATCACAGGACTGAATTTGTGTAATTTTGTACTGAAATGTTTTCTCCAAGTTATAGCAAGCAATAGTGTACTTTGTAAGGGAAGAATCACAGGACTGAACAGAATTTTCCCAGCAGTGAGTCAAATCAAATGCATCCTGGTTCTATTCCTTTTGACCAAGACGTATCCAGCAGGCTTTAAAGAAAAGCAGTTTATTCCCTTCTCCTGTGCTGCCATAGCTATTCTCCAACCTGTGAAAATCGGATGGAAGGGTACTAAGCGTAATTATGGTGTGTTGCTTTAAAGGAGAGGGAGCGTGCACGCATGTACTTCGTCAAGGGCTTCCAGATGTTCTCCCTTTCAAGATCTGGGGCAAGATCTAACTTGTAGACTCCAACGCTTGTCTAAGAGCTATTTCTAAACTACCAGGGGGAAAAAAAAGAGTGGTTTTGCAGCCTTAGCTGGTCTTGCATGTAATCTAAGCAGGGTGGTGAAGTAAAGATTCAAGCACCACGCCTAATGATTTCTTTGGTGCAAATCTCTCTCTGTCTCTCTCTCTTTCCCCAGAGCTTGCTGTGCTCATAATTAAGACCTGGGATGATTCAGTCCAGAAAGACACACAACCAAGAAACACCTTCCATAAGGACGTCGCTTGCTGGCTGATCTGCACCACCAGAAGCGACAACCTGTTTTACTGCCTAAACAAGTTTTCCCCACCAACGCTCAGGGTGATTTGAATAAGAGACCAACAACCAGTTTCCTGACTTCCATGAGGCTGTGCCATATTTTTCCATTCGACATCTCTGTGCTCAGTTCCTTACTTTTAAAAAGAGACGGGGAGGGGGAAAATATCGTCCAAACACAGTCGCATCACATACTAAAGCTGCACCCTCTCTGCCTCTCCTGGTCTTAAGGGCAACTCACAGGAAGGATGGAGACTCGAGGGAGCGCAGAACCGCAAAGTCTTCTAATGGGCACAGGACCCTGCAGCCTAGGAAATGGGGCAGTAGGTTCAAAAAATCCAAACCCACAAAGTTTTAGCCCCTCTAATGAAGAAACTGGATGAAGTTGCCAGGCCTGCCTAGTACAGGTGAGTCACAAAAACTAATTTTACAAGGCGTCTTGGCAGTATGTAGGTGTGTGCATGCATGAGAGTACACAAAGCACCAGAGCGAAGCCAAAGGCAACCTGCCCTTAAAAGTTTCCAGAAATCAGACAAAAAAAATAATAATTGAAAGAGAAGACAAGAAAAAGAGGGAAGGAAGAAAGAGGTTCATCACTGTAAGAAGTATGTTGGATTTTCCACTCCCAGGCCCTTAAGCCCCCAGCTGGCACTAAACAGAGTTAACTTAAGCCCTGGAATCTGCTCTTTTGTGTCCAAATGGTTGCGAGCAGGCCTGTGAAGCAGCACAAAGACCCTCTATGTCTGGGGTGGACAATTTGTGGCCCTCCAGAGGGTGCGAAGCCACACAAAGCCGTACCCAGAGTGCCAGAAGTTACAGACCGTGGGGCTCATAGCGTGGCAACCACATCCAAGCCCCCATATTCAAGTATCCCATCTTTTTTCAGGTGCAAAATAAAACTGAATTGATTTGTGATGGACATTAAACCCTGGGATGGATCAGGGAGGCTAGAAAAAGGGAAAAAAGGCAGCAGTGAAAATAGCACCAGCATTGGAAAGGTCAGGTTTTAATGTGAGCATCCTGGGGAGTATAGAGCACATGGGGGGGTCTGGATTGAATAGCAGTTGCGATATGACATGAGTGGCAACCTCTATCCTCCCAGCTGTTGTTTGATCACAAAGGCTTCACCATTAGGGGTTTTTCTGCCTAGAGCTGATGGGAGTTATAGTCAAATAATTCTTACATTACCCTGAGGACGAGGGAGGAAGCGAAACCTTGCAGGTAACAACTGCAACGATAGTTTTGTTTATTCTTGGCTATGCCGTTGCCTTTTGGATCAACTGTTGCAAATTATTTAGGAAACTCTTGGAATTGTTTAGGAAAAAAAGAGTTTACAAAAGTATTTGCAAAAAAATAAAAATCAACCTGGACATTTCAAAACAAACAAGGCGAACAACAAGGGAACAAGACATGCATTTATCCGCAGATGACTGTAGCACAAAGTAATAACTTCTAAGTCTAAATGGATCGTTGTAGACGAGACCACAAAAATCCACAGCCGTACGGTTCCACAGAGCCCATTTGATTTTTAGAAGTGTTTGATACACACACAGTATTTCAGCAGTCCCTGATCTGGTGTTTTGTTCCATAAACAAAAGCTATCGGCACAGGGGATTCTGGGAGTCGTAATCCAAACAAATGACATCCCCACGCTTTGATGGCACCTGGGGGCAGCTGTCCACTTCAGGTGGGACAAGACAAGTGTCCTCCACATGAAAGGGGTGGGCAGGAGAAAACACTGGGGCCTGGCATCGCTATCCGAGGCAGTTGCTTCCTTTTGCCTAATAACAGGGCCGGCATGGCGGCCACATCACAAGCTCACGGCGAAGATGCAATTTTTCCGCTCAGAGCCGACATTCTTGGTGACCACCTGCACCGCCTGCCTCGCATGGCTCAGCAGCGAGCACTTTCAAATAATGGAGGCAGGCGTCACGAAGGGGCGCCCATGTGGCAGATAACGACAGCAAACATCCATCGGGGCAGGGAGAGCCATGTGCCTGCTCCCTGTGTTGCCAAAGCCAGGAGCCAGTCAATACGCCCTGTTGCATCAGTCGAAAACCTCCCTCTGCCTCACCTCCCCATTAACCCTTGAAGGTCCCTCACCTGCTGGAGAACTCGATCCAGGGGCTCGGCTTTGCTCAGGCTTTCAGGGGTTAATCCGGTCACCTCCTGACACTGGTCACTCAGCTCCAGGTCGTCCGCCTTCACCAGGCATTTGTGCAGGGTCCCCACCTGAAAAGGTGTAACAAAAAAAACGGGGAAGGGAGGGGAGAAAAGGGGTTTTTGAAAAACTGGCATGGAGCGGCCTGGAGACACAAATGCATGGTTTTGTCTTTTTAAAAAGAATGCACCGAGTGGCTCATTGGAAAAAAAATATACATTGGATCATTTCATAAAATCCCAAGATCTTTGTCTGCAGGGAAAACACCCCCTCAAACCCAGAGCTGCAAGTGAGAATTGGCTGTAATCCTGGTGTCAGGGTGGGAACCCTATAACCCTCCGGACATTTGCTAAACTGAGGTCCCCACATTTTTGACTACTGACTGGGGTTAATGGGATTGGGAGTCCAACCACATCTGCAGAGACACAGGTTTCTCCATCTGCCGGGAAAGAGCTACGTCAACGGCATCGAATCGAACTCCATTTCATAAGAACAGCAAATTTCCACATCTCCTCAATGTGCCCGAGCCAAGCGTATTAAAACCCAGGCAGGCAGCTTTCAATAACAAGCAAATTAAAGAGTTATAATAATTTGGGGGGAAGAGAAAGGATAATTTGGGTATGGTTTTAGATTTATCGTGCTCAAGAAAAGCCCCCTTTCCCTCTTTCCCAGGATAGGGCGGTCAATCCCCTTAAAAAGCGAGAGGTCCGAGAAGCGACACACAGGCCTGCCTTAAACCAAAACGAACCCAAAGAAGGTGCCAAACAAATGCCCCAGATGAAGGAAAATAAATAAATATACCAAAAGACTCGGCTTCTACCCGAAGTAAAAGCTTTGGAATTCAGAGCCTGAAGGAGAAGATAACATTTGCAAAGGGGTGGGTGGGGGGTTTGGAATGGGAGAAAGAATGATGCTTTTGTAATCTGGATTTCCACCATGCTCTTGTCAATTTCAAGGACGGGTTTTTGAAGCCAGGAAACCTCCCCTCCCTTGGAAATTAGGGGTTGGGGGGGTGGGAAGAGAAGGGAGCAAGTTATTCCGGTCAAACGACTTTGCTTTCCCTCTTTAGTGATTCCGCAATTGCAAGGTTGCAAAAATCACCAAATCTTCTGGCGCCTTGAAAGGCCAGTAGGTGGTTGTGCATTTATTATTATTATTATTATTATTACTTGTAAAAGTGATAGCTGTGTTAGTCTGCACAAGTGAAAACAAAATAAAGATAAAAAGTGAAAACTTGGTGGCACCTTAAAGATGAGCTTTTATATTTTTTAATGTGAGCTCTCATGGACAATTCCACGAAGGCTCACCCCCGCCACCACCCCCCACATTCAACCCTATGGAACCAATGGGGGCATCGTTGACCCTCAAAGCAAGGCAGAGAGAAAAGGCTGGGTTTGCTTTCGAGCTTATTTTTTGGGAAGGGCAAAGGGTGGGGGAGAGATTGAGAGAGAGAGAGAAGCCGTACCTTCTTGCTGTGTAGATCCACAACTTGCCACACCAAGAGAATTAGTTCCCTCTCATCGGAACCCAGCTTAGCCCCATATGCACCAGCTGTCGCCCCAAACAAGACCACCACAGAGTCACTGTGTGGAGAAGCCGTCATGACCACAGGGGGGGGAACAGCTACAATCAAAGCAGAGGTAAAAAAAATACAAACAAACGAAAAGAAAGAGAGAGAGAAAAAAATGAAAAGAGAGAGAGAGAGAGAAAGAAGTATAAAACCAGCCAAACACAAAACCACACACATACAAAAGTCACCCCCTTTTTCCCCAAGTGATCAAAGTGGAGATTTTTTTAAAAAAGGGAACAATATTAGAAGAACCAGAACTCTTAAGGAGAAGGGGTGGGGAAGGGAAGAAGGTAGGTACCTAAGGCCCCAATGATCAGGTAGGTGGGTAAAGGTTTGGGTTTGGGGGTGGGGGAAAGGTTGGCTGGTTTCTTGGGTTTGCCTTTTTTGCATGGGTTACCTGCTTCCAGGTGAGTCTTTTCTCCCATAGGTCTGGGTGGGAGATGGATTTAGCAAGCGGTGGTTTTCTCTCCTTCTGACATCATGGCAGGCACCCAGCTTTGCTTTGGGGAAAAAAAAACTCTCTCTTTTCCCCCACCTACCTTCCTTCCTTCCTAAGTTACCTGCCCATGAGTTGAGTGAGACCACGTGACTCTCGTCAATTTCCCAAAGGGGCAAAAGCTATTGGGCCTTTGGGAAAGGTGGAGGCGGGTCCTGGAGTCAAATCAACGCCTGGTTAAGTCTACCTGATAGGAATTTTTTTTTTTTTAAAGTGAGTGAGGTAGAGCAAAAAAGGGAACCTCCCTCTCTCCTCCAGGAAGTACCTTAACCTGCTTTCAACTTTTCTCTCTCTCGCTTTTAATTTGCAAGAGCCTTTTATCAGCAAGTGGGACGCAACACTGTGTTACTCTTTCCTCCTGCAGAGGTGCAAGGCACAAACGCATGGATATATATGAATCCAGCTAGGATTTTGTCTTGTCCTTTGTCCCATTTTGCCTGCCTCTTTTCGTTCCCCTGGATCAAAGAATCCCTTGTTACGCAGAAACTTTGAATTGTTTTGTACTGGAATGCCACTGCCCCCCATCTTCTACACAGAGACACTCTTAGGAGATGAAACCTCTTTGGTTCTGTGCTTAGACTCGCTTTCTTCTCCCTTTCAAAACATTTATATTCCACTTTTCCTTTGTTAGCAACTGGAAAATCCAGCTGCCCTTTTCATTGCCGCATTTCCTGGCATTTTATTCTGTCTAGCGCCCTAAAGCTGTTAATTCAGCTTCCTCGCTGAGGGAGGATCCGAATCCATGCCTTTCTGGCCTCATCTTGGTCAGAGTTGGCAGTAACTGGGGGAAACTGGGAGTTGTAGTCACAGCAATTTCAAGACCTAGCGTTCAGTGTCCGTTTTGAAGCTGATCTTCCGTTGCTGAGAATAGCTTAGTTTATTAGTTTTATTTTATGATTATTATGGTTCATGACCAGCAAAACTCATTAAAAGAGAATAGCCACATGCCCTATTTTAGGGTTGTGCTGTCCTGTCTCAGCATTTATAATAGCCTAAGAAGGTATTAATTTTCTTTCTGACCCTCTGGATGTTTTCAAATGCCCAGAGACCTTTGGGTAGAGTGGGCGGCTTATAAGTTAGATAGATAGATAGATAGATAGATAGATAGATAGATAGATAGATAGATAGATAGATAGATAGATAGATAGATAGATAGATAGATAGATAGATAGATAGATAGATAGATAGATAGATA